GGGCAGAGCACAGATAGCCCTTGTGTAGCTTTGTGCATAATTAAAAACAAACAAACAATTATTCTAGACACTGTAAATGAAAGCCAGATTGGTTGTCATCTGAAACCCTCCTAAAAATACTTTAGGTGCGAAAAAAAAACAAACAAAAACCACCACAACCTCGTCTCGTTGGCCTTTTCTCTTTCAAAATGATAAAATAAATTCCATGATGAACAAACGAGGATTAGTAGTAGCATAACAGCTTGTACATATTCGGGGAATGTGTACTAACTTTTTTAAGTCCAACAAACAGTAGTTTATTCCACTGTTACCACGGTGGCTCAGTGGTAAGCTTGAGGTCTTATAATGCTAAAATTCAGAATCTAGCCCGTCGGGGGCACAGTACAGGTAGCCCACTGTGTAGCTTTGTGCTTAACAGGAAATATACAATTGAATACCTGTAGCGATTGTCCCATTTTTAGCCATTGTCTTCGGTTGAGTATAAAAGTAATTATAAACTTGTGAAGGATTTGTTTCGGATAGTTTCGCAAAAGCTGTCTGCACCAGTCGTCCTTAATTTAGAACTGATAAACTAGAGGGCGGGTAGCTAGTCAAACAGTACATTCCCGCCAACTTTTGGACTATTCTAATCGAAATTTGACTGTCACTATTATAAAACATCTACGATCCCAAACGGAGGGCGATTTGTTATTATTCTTTGTGATAACAAGACGCGAACCATGGACCATCAGATCCACAGTCTGGCATTCTAACTCTAGCTACCGGAATTAAGCATAATCACGTGTGAAATTATCAAACTGTTTGTTCTTTTATACATGCGTTTCTATTTTTGGTTACTTTAACAAAGAACTAATTTTATCTTATTTATGAAACCCATACATTCAAACTTATTTTGTCTTATTTCAATGGAAATATTTTCCGACGCGTAACATTTGAGCTTATAAAGTCGTTAACAGTCAGTAACGAAAAGAAGCGACAAAAAGTTTCCGAACGAATTTGTTTGTTTCAGAATATCGTAAAAAAAAACTATATTAGGGCTATTTGAACTGATGGACTAGAGGGAAAGTACTTACTAGCCCAGCTAGTCAACAATATACCTCGTCAACTCTTGGGCTACTATAAACGAATAATGGACTTGATCGTTATTTGTATCGCACATTAACGTCAAAGTACGAAGCACATTTTTGTTTAGAAAGTTCTCAAAGAAGAGGCAGAAATTAAGGCGCATAAGTTAACTTTTTTCGAATTTTGAGCCCCTCGGTGACACAGCGGTATGTTTGCGGATTTACGACGCCAGATGCTGGGTTTCAATACCCGTGGTGGGCAGAGCACAGATAGCACATCGTTAACTGTTTTCGTATTTTGAGCTCCTCGGTGACAGAACGGTATGTCTGCGGATTTACACCGCTAGATACCGGGTTTCGATACCCGTGGTGGGCAGAGCACAGATAGCCCATCTTTAACTGTTTTCGTATTTTGAGCCCCTCGGTGACACAGCGGTATGTCTGTGGATTTACAACGCTAGATACCGGGTTTCGATACCCCTGGTGGGCAGAGCACAGATAGCCCATCGTGTAGCTTTGTGCTTAATTAAAAACAAACAAGTCGTATTTTGATAAAGTAATTAAATGCAATTTCAAAAGGAACGTGGTTTAAAGTGATACTTAGTTCGGTATGTCATAACTGAACAGAAAACAACAAAAGTTGAAGGTCTTTCTGGTTAGCTATTACCTAATACTGTTCTCGCCCATTGAAGTGGTATCGAAGTTCGACAATTCAGAGGATAGAACACGAGTTTGATAGGAAAAATGAGAATTTAAACTCTGCGCTGATTCCGCTTTGTTTTTCCTAAGAAACTAATATAATATATTCAACTTGTCTGTGCGTCAGATGTAATTTTTAACTGCACGGAACAGTGGGTTGAGTCATTTCTGTAAATACAAAAATTCGTGGAGTAATTCAAGACCGGGTGAGAGTTGTATTTGTCAGGAAAGTAAAAATGATGATAAGCTCACGGAACATGTTAAAAATAGACTTACCTATCACGTTTATCACAACCAGTTTAGTAATTGGTAGCATTTGGAAGTAATTACTGCGCTGTTCATGCCAGATGTGCTTCTCTAACCAAGAACACCGTATACTAACTTTAGGTTCCACCTCTGTAGAATTCTCAGATTCTCGACAATAAAAACTCACCCTGTGTGGCCAACTAATGTTTGTGTGAAAGTAAGTTTTAGCTTACATTATCTTCACCAGATGGCACCCAAGAAAACGGACTGTTTGTGATGGAAGAACATTTCACGATTGACCTTTGACTCAACACGTTTTTTATTCATGACTAGGAATACCAGTACTTTCCATTAACCGGGTTTTACTCAAGTTAATTTGCGGTTATATAAGATAAAATATATTTATAATCATAGCTGGTTTGACAAAACCGTTTAGAAATCATTTCCAAGCCAAAATCTTTATCTGACAAGTTAGTATACTTGTGTAAAATAACCAGAAAAGGTCATGAGTCACAATATTACTAGATACGCAGGAGGTTGAGCAAAACAGCAAAAAGTTTCGACAATCCAGATGATGAAGACCTAAGAAAGTAAAATCAAATAAAATAAGTCCGTTAAAGCCCTGTGCTAGCAGTTAGAAACAGCGTCCCAAAACAAACCCATTGAAATCAGTTAAATTATTAAAAGTAAAAACATGATTTTAAAGGTACAATAAATATCTTTATGGAATACGTAGGTGTAACTGACCTTCTAATAGTAAATATACAGGTTTTAAACTTTCATAAGTACACCAATAAAGCATTTTGTTTATATCATGTCAGAGCTTCCTTGAGGTACTTATTGAATAAAATTGTGTGTATCTATTATAAAAAGAAAATGCATTATTTTAGACTGAAAATTATTCTTGCAAAAAGGCTTTTTTATATTTATGAATTGAATTAGTGCAGACATAAAAAAAATCTGAAAATGCAAGTTGTTCAATAATATTTTCATTGCGAATCATTTCAAATATTATTAATTTGTAATTCTCATTAACTTATTAATATGTCACGCAAGAAAAATGGTTTGATTTTTATAAACTAAAATTTAAGAGCACGCATTCATGTGTTCTGTTTTACAGAAAAATATTTAAAAATAACTTTTTGTGGTTAGAAATGAATATTTAACAAGAAAATGAAATAATCAAAAACGTTATCCTCTCTGTGGATAAAGCCTGAACACCATTTAAACAAATATATAATCTCTCGAAACCTGTCAACGATAACGTAATCCAATAATGTCAACCATAATGTATTCCAATTATATTAATCTGTATCCCCTGCTTATATGATACACGCATTCAGTTGGCAAACAAAAACTGTATTTAATATTGAAGTTAAGACATAGTTTAGTTTTTGTCATGAATTTACTCTTGAAAAAAGCAGCTTTTATCATGGAGAGTAGAGGGATAAGGCCTGAACAATCTTTTCATCTCCCTTCGAACCTTCACGAAATTCCTCTAGAGTCAGTTTGTCGTCATGATTCTAAAGAATAATAAAACACGCGTTTGAATTGGATACGCTTAAGCTCTTAAAATATAAACAGATATAACAATTTGATCACTGTACAATACGAAAAATTCGTAATGTAACTCAATAAGTAAGTAACTAAGTAGCTAGAGATTCTAAACTAATGGAAACAAAGAGAATTATACGTTTCACAAATATTTCATTTGTCACTACTATGGTTTCTTCCTTAATTAAAGGCATCGTCAGGTACCTGCTATCCCAACACGGACAGAGTCTGACGAAGGGTTTTTGTGAACATATTCTGCGTTGTATGTGTTGGTGAAAATGTTTTGATCTTTACGCCGAGTCCTTCTTCAGGTCTTAAGGTACCTTGTGACCTTTGAAGTAAATTTTAATTTCACAGGTTAACGTATATTTTACAGTTTAAGTTTAGGAAGGCCCTGAGATGAAGAAGAAAATAGTGTGCTGATATTTTCCCTTTTTTTTATAACTAATAATTTCCATAAAATTTCGCGTGAGTGTTTTGCATATATTTACCGTAAACCATAAATCGGATGTACTAATCTTCTACGTTAAACAAAGGTTACGTAACACGTAAACGATTGTACCTGATTGGTCCTGTAATTAGAGATCAAGTTATATGTATATTGAGAATGTTTTCTAAAAGCCTTACTCTGTAAATCAGTACAAAGTTTTTATATATACCTTGTCTAAATGTTGGAATATTTTGTCAACCCTTTCTTGTGGTGTATCTTCTTCCTCATTTTTGTTCTCTCCTGACTGGTTTCCCTGGAAATAAAAGGGGAGGGTTGATTTGGTTTGTTTTGAATTTCGCGCAAAGCTACACTAGGGCTATCTGCACTAGCCGTCCATAATTTAGCAGTGTAAGACTAGAGAGAAGGAAGTTAGTCATCACCACCCACCGCCAACTCTTGGGCTACTCTTTTACCAACGAATAGTTGGATTGACCGTCACATTATAACGCCCCCACGGCTGAAAGAGGGAGCATGTTTGGTGGGATGGTGATTCGAAACCACGAGTCGAGCGCCCTAACCACCTGGCCATGCCGGGCAAAAGGAGAGTAACGTCAACCCAACTATTTCTGTCACGTACGTAGATACATATATACACGCTTCGTCCATTATAGTAAAATGAGATTAAACTTCTGCATAAAGTATAACGGTTTACTTGGGTTCTGATTTATGAAAACAATTAAAACATACATTTACATAAGACGTTTTTATTACAGTGTTGTACAACGGATAAACTTGCAAAGTATTCAAAATCTTTAGGCCTAACACAACGGCGTAGCTAAGCATACGAATTATACGTACGTGCGTATAGTTTTTTCTATGCTCATCGTAATTCCGGTGACTTTTCTCTGAAATACCTTGTAATAAGAATCATAGCCATTCCAACGATGACCATCTGCACATATCCACGCAGAGAGGAAAGGAGGTTCGACCGAACCCCATAATGTTTGTGATGTAAAATATACCACAACTTATAATGGCTGGAGACGGCTTGAATGGGTAATGAAGAAAAACTTTAATATAAGTTTAACATAACAGCAAATGTACAACGTTCGACAAGGTTTTATCACCATCAGGTACAAGTAGGTTACACTGACACAGATATATATATACAGTATGGATTCATCCCAACATCAAATTTACCATAGAACACAAAAACAATAAACAGTTATCTTTTCTTAACCTCAACATTATTAGATCGGACACACAGTTTAAAACCAAACTTCACCGTAAGAACACACACACCGGCCTCTACATCCCCTGGAATTCCGCTCATGATACCACACACAAAATCAATACACTGAAAAACCTCGTAAACACAGCCACAGCCACTACATAGATGAAGAAATCAACCACATAAGGCATTCCTTCATTCACACTAACAAATTTTCATCAGATATTTTTGAAAAACTCTCCAACATTCCCCACAACAAAACTCAACTACCCATCTCTTTTAATATTGTTAACAAGAATCAAACGATCATCCCAGCACCCCCAATAACCCATGATTTCACAAACACTGATTGAATCAAATTTGAAGCACACCTATCCAAAAAATCCTTAAACTTTAAAGATCAAACACCAAACAAGGAAACACCAGATAAATATGCTAATCAATTAACCCAAAACATCAAAGCATCAATTAAAGCTATAATGCACTCCAAAAAACTTTTCCAAAATCTCAAATCCTGGAAATTAACACCCGAAACACATAAGCACATTAGTAATAGATCCCACTTAAGGAAATTATTAATCACAACTCTAGATAATTAAATTAAGACTTTAATTAACGCTAAAAGAAACAACATCAAAAAAACTAATCCAGGAAGAACAACAAAGTAACTGGGAAAATTTCTGTATCTCTATCGATCAATCAACACTATTTTTCATCTCGTCCTATAACACTAGCCGAACTGAAAATAAACATTAAACAACCAAAAAACAAGAGTGCTCCAGGTGAAGATGGAATAAGTAACTTAATAATTAAAAATCTTCCTGATAACTTCCTTAATTACATCACAACTCTATTTAACTTATCTTTTAACTCTGGATAGTGTCCTTCTTGCTGGAAAACGGCAATAATCCGAGTCATACCTAAATCATCAAAAGATCTTCACGACCCATCAAACTATAGACCCACCAGTCTCTTAAATAACATCGGAATACTATTGGGAAAAAAATATTGCATAAAGACTACTTTATTATTTAGAATCAGAAAACATCCTGTCTAATATACAGAATGCATCAAGACGAAATAGACAAACAGCTGACCATTTAGTTAGATTAACTGAATCGGTATTCGCAAGCCTTTAACAGGAACCAATGTAACAGTAGGAGCATTTTTAGATGTTAAACGGGTTTTCGATTCTGTCTGGCACAATGCACTACTGTATAAATTATCAAAACTAAACTTGCCGACAAAAACAATCCGCTGGACAGCCAGCTTTTTATCTGACAGGATAGCGAAAGTAAAAATAAACAACGAGCTATCTAATTCTTTCAAACTAGAAGCAGGAGTACCCCAAGGCTCGGTCATTAGCCCTCTCATATATATTCTGTTTGTTAATGACATAACATTCCCTAAGTTACCTTCAATACACGTGTCACAATATGCTGATAACGTAGCTGTATGGAGCACGTCATGTAACTCATTAACTGCTGCTCGGAAAGTTTAAACTACTTTAGAAGCTTTAACAGCTTGGTGCAATAAGTGGAGAATAGTATAACCCCCCCCCCCAAAAAAAAAAACGATGGCCATCATCTTTTACAGATGGTTTAAACGTAAAAGAAAAAAATAGCCCGGGTTAAATTAAAACTTTATGACACTAACATCCTCTTTTCTACAACTATTAAATTTCTTGGAGTAACATTCAACTCCAAACTTTCGTGGACTAACCATATTAGTAATATACGTAAAAATTTGAACCAAAGATTATGCTATTTAAAAAAAAAATGGAGGCTATCAGAAAGAATGCAACTCCGAAACCATAGTACACATTTATAAATCCTATATCAGACCCCTCATTGAATACGTTTGTATGATTCTTTGTAACATGTCCAACCCATTATATGGCAAAATACAAACACTACAAAATCTTGCATTAAGAACAGCTTACAGATTTCCCATATAAACAACCATTAGTATACCTAAACTCAGTTAACTACCCATATAAACAAACATTAGTATACCAAAACTCAGTTAACTACCCATATAAACAAACATTAGTATACCTAAACTCAGTTAACTACCCATATAAACAAACATTAGTATACCTAAACTCAGTTAACTACCCATATAAACAACCATTAGTATACCTAAACTCAGTTAACTACCCATATAAACAACCATTAGTATACCTAAACTCAGTTAACTACCCATATAAACAAACATTAGTATACCAAAACTCAGTTAACTACCTATATAAACAACTATTAGTATACCTAAACTCAGTTAACTACCCATATAAACAAACATTGGTGACATAACCTATATATATTTTAGTCCCCTGGCTCAGGCACTATCCGGATAGAATACTCGGCATCCGGGTAGTGAAAGTGGGTTTTTCTCGGGGTGCTCCCGTTTTCCTCCCACAACAAAATTCTGGGTATTAGGATTTTTTGATCCACAACCAAAATTGTGTTATTTTTTTTTTAAGTGAAATTGTTGTAACCTCCCAAACCAACCAAGACAAATAACCGTACCATTACCTTGATCCGAGCCATCCAAGTCCTCCTAACCAGATTTATTATTATTATAATTTTTTATCATTATTATTTCTGTCACTTATGCCACTCGCGATCCATTTAGTGCAGGAGCGGGATGAAGAGATAATTGTTTCTGAACACCCCCGATTGCTTTTGGCCCTGAGTCAAAATTAATTAATTTAACTTAGAGTTAAAAGTTTTAAAATCGAAATACCTGTCATGGTAAACTAAACAACTTGTGATTTCACTCTCGTCCCGTGACGGCTTGCAAGGCTGTGTTCCAAATTGCACCCAATGCGAAGTGTATAGTGCACTTACTACCTTGGCCGATGGCCATTTAACAGGGTATCTCAATGCTATGGTACTTACTACCTTGTCCACTGGCCATTTTACAGGGTGTCTCAATGCTATGGTACTTACTACCTTGGCCGATGGCCATCTAACAGGATATCTCAATGCTATGGTACTTACTACCTTGTCCACTGGCCATTTTACAGGGTGTCTCAATGCTATGGTACTTACTACCTTGGCCGATGGCTATCTTATAGGGTGTCTCAATGCTATGGTACTTACTACCTTGTCCACTGGCCATCTTACAGGATGTCTCAATGCTATGGTACTTACTACCTTGGCCGATGGCCACCTTACAGGATGTCTCAATGCTATGGTACTTACTACCTTGGCCGATGGCCATTTTACAGGGTGTCTTAATGCTATGGTACTTACTACTATGGTCGATGGCCATTTAACAGGGTATCTCAATGCTATGGTACTAACTACCATGGCCGATGGCAATCTTAGAGGATATCTCAATGCTATGGTACTTACTACCTTGGCCGATGGCTATCTTATAGGGTGTCTCAATGCTATGGTACTTACTACCTTGTCCACTGGCCATCTTACAGGATGTCTCAATGCTATGGTACTTACTACCTTGGCCGATGGCCACCTTACATGATGTCTCAATGCTATGGTACTTACTACCTTGGCCGATGGCCATTTTACAGGGTGTCTTAATGCTATGGTACTTACTACTTTGGTCGATGGCCATCTTACAGGATGTCTCAATGCTATGGTACTTACTACCTTGGCCGATGGCTATCTTACAGGGTGTCTAAATGCTATGGTACTTACTACCTTGGCCGATGGCCATCTTACAGGATGTCTCAATGCTATGGTACTTACTACCTTGGCCACTGGCCATCTTACAGGGTGTCTCAATGCTATGGTTACTTATAGTTACTAAAAAATCTTTATTTTCGTAAGCATATAATAGTTATCTTAAATGGAAGCTTACAACATCTAATATCTATCAACGTCTTGTATGAAACGTCTCTACGATAATACCCAATATCCAACGTTTGATAAATCTACCAACATCTAATAAGTAATTTCTCTACTATACTTACCAATACCTAGTGTTTGATATATCTACTATCATATGGTACTATAGTTTAAAATATGGCATTTACTATTTGACCATCATCTGGTAAAAGACGTTAATATTATATTTATTACTATTTAGTAAAATACAATTCTGTACCATTTGACCTCGTCTGGTAGAAAACTTTCCTTGATACTTGACGCTATATAGTAGAAGTTGTTCCTATGAGACCTAATAGAAACTATCTGATAAAGGTTGTTCCTATTAGATCGGATAGAAACTATCTGATAGAGGTTGTTCCTATTAGATCGGATAGAAACTATCTGATAACAACCTTTATCAGATAGTTTCTATTAGGTCTGATAGGAACAACCTTTATCAGATAGTTTCTATCCGATCTAATAGGAACAACCTCTATCAGATAGTTTCTATCCGATCTAATAGGAACAACCTCTATCAGATAGTTTCTATCCGATCTAATAGGAACAACCTTTGTCAGATAGTTTCTATTAGGTCTAATAGGAACAACCTCTCCTATCAGACCTGATAGACACTATCTGATAGAGGTTGTTCCTATTAGATGTGATAGATACTCTGACCGAAATTGTTCCTATCAGACCTGATAGACACTATCTGATAAAGGTTGTTCCTATCAGACCTGATAGACACTATCTGATAGAGGTTGTTCCTATTAGATGTGATAGATACT